GGCCCGCCCCGTTGACGGTGGCGATGCGGATACTTGTACGAACGAGTCGACTTTTCTCCAGCTCGATCGGCCCCGTTCCCCCTCTTGTATTCACGTTGCCGAGTCCAATTTGCCGTCGGAGCGGGCGATTCGGCGTACGGGTTTGCAGAAGTCGACGTCCGAGCGTCGAGTGAGTCGAGTGATTTGCAGCTGGCGGCGTCCTTCCAAAGGCGAATGAACTCGCTGGGCCGTCCCAACGTTGTCGACGACTTCTTGTCTGGTTTGTCCCGTGCCAGAGCGGAACCAGCTTCCACGTGTACGATCAGGGTCGCTTCTCCAAAGAGGTCCTGCCCAAGTTCTTCAAGCACAACAACATGGCCAGCTTCATTCGACAGCTCAACATGTGTGAGTACAAGCTCGTGCCGAACGGCTCGCTCAGCTTTGCTCTCCGAGCCTTGGCCCAACCGCAGGCCGCTGGCTTTTCTCCCCCCGCCCCCAGACGGCTTCCGCAAGGTGGTCCACATGGAGCAAGGCGGCTTGCTGAAGCCCGAGAGAGACGACACGGAGTTCCAACACCCCTTCTTCGTCAGAGGCCAAGAGAGCTTGCTGGAGCACATCAAACGCAAAGTCACCAACGTACGAACGCCGGCGAGACGCCGCCGCCGCCGCCGTACGCGCGCTCGCTCTCTCTCGGTGACGCCGCCGCGCTCTGCTCTCCGCCGCCGCAGGTGTCTTCGGCGCGTCAGGAGGAGGGCAAGATCTCGTCTCACGAGGTCAGCAAACTCCTGAATGACGTGCAGGCCATGAAGGGAAAGCAGGAGACCATCGACTCCAAAATCATCGCCATGAAACAGTATGAACTCCCACGCGGGGCCCCGCCGCTCGGGCCCCGCCGCTCGGGCCCCGCGCGCGACGGCTCCTTCGATTCCCTTTTTATTCGCACAATGTGGCAAATTCATCGGAAACGCTCGTGTAAGCAACCCGACTTCATTTGCCCCGCGCGTGCGCACGCACGGAATGAAATCGGATTGCGGGCTTAACGGCCGCCGCCTTCAGCAGCGGCGTTGGGCTTTCGGCGGCGGGTGCGTCGTGCAAATTGGGAGAATAACAAATGTGCGCTTCGAACCGCCGAGCCGAAAGGAGCGCGGAACAGCGGCCCGACCTGGCGTCGGAAAGCGCGTCGTCAAGCGCCCGTCTGGCAAAAGGCGCATCCGAGGACAAAATGACTGCAAACTGCCAGAAGGACTTGAGCGCGCGCGCCACGTATTTGGCATGATTCCCGAACTGGCCAACTAACAACAACGCGCGCAAAGGGGCGCGAGGTCTCCGGGGTTGCGCGGCGCGGGTACGCCGGATGAGCCCACGGCGTGCTCCGCACCGAGCGGCGCCTCGTTTGTTCTCGGTCGCGTGATCTTTTCATTTTTTGCGTTCATTTGTTTTTGCACCCGATACATGCTCCGAATCGGGACTCGGTTCGGCACGCCCGCTTTTGCTCCAAACGCGCGGCTTCGGCCCCGAAGCCGAGCGGACCCAACCCGAGCCGATCAAAACCTCGTTTGTGTTTCAGTGAGAATGAGGCTTTGTGGAGGGAGGTTGTGTGTCTGAGACAGAAGCACGCTCAGCAGCAGAAAATGGTCAACAAGGTAAAGCGGCCGCCGCCGCCGCCGCCGCCACCTGCCATCCTTGTTCGGGAACGTCCTCATTTGCCCGTTTGTGCGTCTGCAGTTGATCCACTTCCTGGTGTCGCTGGTCCAGTCCAACAGGATCATGGGAGTCAAGAGGAAACTGCAAGTTGACCTCCGGCGTGTACTTTGAAATTTGCTTCTTTTTTGCACTCGTCGTCAGCGTCTGACTGTTTTGTTTTTTTTGGTGCGGTCACGTCCGCAGCCCGCTGATGCTCAACGACTCCGGCTCCTCCCACTCCGTGCCCAAATACGCTCGCTCGTTTTCCTTGGAGCCCGTGCAGGCCGCTCCCGCCGTCTTCCCCGCGGAATCCTCCGCGGGCTCCGGGCCCATCATCTCCGATGTCACGGAGCTGGCCACGCCCCCTCCCGAGGAGCGCGCGGAAACCGGGTGAGCGTCTGCGACGCGGTCAAACCGCCCTTCGGCGGCTTCTTGTCTTCCTTTGCCAACTGAAGGTGACGTCCGCGCGACAGCGAACAGAATTCATCTGCTGCCGTCCCGCCGCCAGCTCAATGTCGCCTTTGCGGTCACGAATTAGAAATGCGCCCGAACGTGAAAGTGAGGAAGTGAAAGCGCACTTCTCCCGAAGAAATCAGATGACGCTCGAAGCAAGTTTTCGCACCCGCAATGCCCGAAGCCGGCACGTGAACGGCGTCGAGCGGCGGGCCGGCGCCTCAAGTCGACTTCCGTCATTGGCAGACCCGAAGTCCGTCACGGGCGCTCTCTCGTGATTTCGGGCCGGCCCAGGCTGTCAGTCCGTCATCGTCGGGAAGAGAAAAAAAAAAAAAATCTCTGGAAAAGGGCAACCGCGGTTTGGACCACTTCGCACAAAATGAAGAGCACTTCTTAGACGGTTGTTCCTGTTCCTGCCGTTGCCTGTCGTTCCCCAAGCGGCGATCCCTTTATGAATTGAAACGAATATTTATTTTGCGGGTTCGCGGCGGTCCCCGGGATGGCCGAGAATCGCGTTTGACAAAACGATGGTCGGCCGTCAGTCGGACTGACGGACCTGCCGTAAGTTTCCGCGGGGCGGCAAAAATCCACCTTTGCGCCGCTCCCTTGGCTCCGCGACCTCGTCGTCGTTTGACATCCGGTCCCCCGCCGTCCGCAGGAAGAGGAGCGACGCGGAGGAGGACGAGCCCGCCGCTTCCGACGCCGGGGGTGCGCTAATGTCCGGAGACACGCCCCTTTCCCCGACCACCTTCATCAACTCCATCCTGCAGGACAGCGACGCGCTAACGGGCAAGTGGAGACGGGTCCGGCGCCGCGCTCGGCTCACGTCGGCCGCACGGCGAGGCCGCAAGGGTGCTCTCGCGCTTGAGCTTGTCTCGTCGCTCGGCAAATGGTCCTCTCCTCCTCCTTTCCGATGCTTCCAGCTTCCAGGCCCCGCCCGGCCACCGCCCGCCCGGACCCGGCCGCGACGTGTCAGACGGTCGTGTGCCTCGATAAGTACGCTCGCCCGGCGCGTCCTCGTCCCGCGGCGGAATACGGCTGACTCGCTGCGCGCCTGCGTTTCAGGTCGGAATTGTCGGATCACATTGAGACCATCGACAACAGCCTGGAAAACCTGCAGAACGTTCTCAACAGTCAAAGTTTCACCTTTGACGCCTCACCGCTCATGGAGGTGCGTGGGCGCGG